TCGAATAGCATCTCTTTACCGCTCTCGTCTTTACAGTCGTACAGACGGAGCCCGTCCTCTGACAGAACGCACCGCTTCTTCTTCCACAGCTGCAGAACTCCATTACTCCTCTTCTCCAGATAGCCGTCCTTCATGACCTTACACTGGTTCATTCTGAATGAAGGTTGGTGTGAAACCAAAAACAATCGTTAATTAGAATCGGCGAAGCGTTCGCTGCTGTTTTCGCGTAGCGTTAACGACCGAACATTGCACGCAAACGCGCTTAACCGCTGTGCGCCCACTAAATACAGTATAAAACGCCTTCATTTATTTCGTTTCGCTCAACTTTAAAGGTTTCTGCTGAAAATGGTCCCTCTAAAGAACCCGTTACTGATTCTAACGCATCGTCGCTGCATTGCCGCCAGACTCCTCCGTGGCTAAAGATCAGTTTCTGACTTTTATATATTGTTACAATCTACTCGGAAGTTCCATAATCTGGGCATGTTGGTACTTGCTCCTCTGAAAGCGACTCTTCTCGTGTTTCTGAAGGCTCCCCCCCCGGTCGTGATGTCATGGAGATTAGTCCTACTTTAACTGCACTCTGGAATGCTGCTGCTGCTGCTGCCTGATAAACATTAGCTCGTGCGTCCATTCATGTCATGACATCTTTACTTCAGACGGCTTTTTTTGTGAAGGGCCTTTCTTTTATTCCACTGAATCACTTTGACGGGACACTTAACGTCTGACTGCTGTTATTATTATTAGTCCCTCAGTCAAAGCGCTTTTACAGAATTCCTGTCATAATTTAGAACCAAAGGATCCTATTCATATTTTTATATAGCCTACGATTCCAGTACAACACACACACAAAAAATGAAACTAGATCTTTTATAAAACTGGTAATAGGGTTTTGATGATAAGAACTTTTAATAGTCTCCGTAGGACAAAAAGAATCCTTTAATTCCTACAATTCTACTAAAAACAAGATTTCAAAACTTCAGAACATTTCACAAATATGGGTTCTGGTGAAAAATGACATCAAATTGAAAATTGTAAAAATTAAATTAAATCTAAATAAATTAAAAGAAAACAATATAGGTTAGTGTGAATATTTACTCTTCAAACACGCTACTTCAAACCTTTTTCTGTTTAATAACTCAGGCCAAATTCTCCCATTAACTTTCAGTGCACTTGCGATTTTTAAGCTATACCAAAAAAACTACCAAAATGGACACAATCTTTGGCTGGTGGAGATTTGTGGCTTGTTTTTTGGTGCTGGCATGCTCTGTACCTCACTTAAACAATGTGCCTTCCCAAATTATTGAAGTATTTTGCCCATGGACTATATGTTCCAAATCTAAAGAGTCTTTTTACTCTGTTCAAATCAGAAAGGTCTTTCTTCTGAGTCTCAAACTCTTGAGAACAGCAGGAAGTGAAACTCATCCGATAGTGTTTGTCCTCACTAATGATACAACTAAAATGGAATGATGAACATGTTTGAAAGTCACTGGTTGTGAGAAGTATAGGCGCTCTTTTCATAGCTGAGATATTGCCGGACATTATTGTGCATTCGGTCCACTAGAGGACAATCTTTTCCTCTTCTTAGCATTCGAATCTTATTTCGGAGGGTCCATGCCATGTTGTTTCAAGAGTATCAGGCCACACATTTAAAAAAAAAACATTTAGGTCATTTGCTCTAACTGGAACCAGTGTCATCAGTCTTACATTATCACTGGAAAATACAAAGATGTAGGCTACTTGAATTGTGTTGAACATTCATCCACATTTGCTACAAATAGAATGCACGACTACAGCAGGATTTTAACGCTATGAATGAAACCTGTATTAATTAATTAATTCAATCTGAGCCCATGACGTCATCCTCAGTTCGTTCAACGTTCGTTTTGATATGTATTGCATCCATGTCTCCATGAAGCTAATGCTAGCGATATAAATGTTCGCTGTCTCTGCATGAAACTTTATTAAAAACAGTAATTGGACTCATGGACTTCTGTGCATTCTTACCAATGCCCTGTGACGATCCCAACTACTGTAAACCAAACCAGTCCAAGAAACATACTTAACAGGTAGTGCAGCTTCACCATACAGATTTAACTAGGAGCACAGCTAAATAAAACAGGCTGGGTGCTGATTAAAATTTCTGAAGTAGGCCTACATATTTCTGTGAAATGCATTAAGTTGCACAGAAGAAAGTCCGATCTAAGACCTGCCCAGTACAGCAGCAGAGGACTATTATTTTGTTGAACAAACTGAGGAAACTGAGGATGATATCACAGGCTCAGATTTGGTTGACCAATCGACGGAAAGGGGCGTGTTAGGACTGCCGACAAGGGGAAAATTTATTTTGAAATCGTTTATCCGTTTTCTACCCGTGAACCAAAAAAACGAAAATTGAGCCAAAATCTCTTTTTCGTTTTTTTTTTTGAACAACAGTTTTCTCGTTTCTGCTTATTTCATTTCAAATTGAAAAACAAACTATGAAAACGCACACGGACCCATAATAATCTGTGTATCATTCGATCATTCGTTTTTTGATTTAATATTGAAGTTATTTCCCCTCGATGGGGAAAATAATCCAAGTGAACATCAATCAGTAGTACTCAATAATAATTTAAACTGCTTTAAATATGACTGCTGCTTATTTCCTGTGCACTTCAATACTGGTCTGCGCTTGACTGTAGTCGCGTCTGTCTGCTTATTGAGTTAGGCTAACCCATCGCAATTTATTGGAACTGTGTGAACTAGAGTGACTACTCACCTTAATGTTGTTCTCACAGCTCACGCTACGCACAAGTGCATATCCGTTTGAGATATCAATTATAATAAATTTTAATAAAACACAAGACTACATTATATAACTCTAACAGTAGGCTATTTAATATCTGTTGTTCTCCGGTTGTCAGTCAGAATGACAGTTCTTGCGTGAACATAGGCCTATATATACCCAAGCCAATTTATTATTCTTTCCTTTTTGTCTTAGTGTTTAAAATTTATTTTGAAACGAATTAATTAATTAAACAAACATACTTACTGGGTGAGCAGTGTAGGATATGACAGCTGTAATATCATACCCTGCCATGCCCAGCTGATGCAAAGAATATAATTTATATCTACACAGAAGAAAGCCCTGTCTAGACTCTGCCCCAGTATGAGTTGTGTCGAGCTATTCATTAGCTTGTTTGTTTGATGAAAAAAGATTAAATATAGTTGCAATAAATGCTTAAGAATCCATACAACTGCAGCAGTGGAGGACTATTATTCTGCTGCGTGATACTGCAGAAGAACTGATGACTGCCCAGCTGATGCAAAGAATATAATTTATATCTACACAGAAGAAAGCCCTGTCTAGACTCTGCCCCAGTATGAGTTGTGTCGAGCTATTCATTAGCTTGTTTGTTTGATGAAAAAAGATTAAATATAGTTGCAATAAATGCTTAAGAATCCATACAACTGCAGCAGTGGACTATTATTCTGCTGCGTGATACTGCAGAAGAACTGATGAAGGCACGGTTTGATCTTCGGCTGACCAATCAGCAGAAATTACCCGCCCACGTGTAGAAATCGAATATTCAAGCTGTTTATTCATTTTTCCACCCATGAACGAAAAACGAAAATTTAAGCTGAATTCTCGTTTTTCGTTTTTTGGAAAAAAAACAAAAAACGAAAAAGGAGCCATTTTCTCATTCATCTTAATGCTAGATTTGGCAGGGGCTCTTTTCCTTCCCTCAGTTCAACAGCCATTACATGCACACAGCTTGTATGCACAACGTTACTCCCACACAGCACTGTGAATTTTGTTTGTAATGTTTGACATTGATCATATCCCAGTCATTAATTTCACTTTCCTGTATCAGGTGAAAAGTTTAACCAAGCAGGTGTACTGCAGTGGGGCGTAACTGTATCAGAAGCTCACTTTAACAGCTTGTAATATTTTTATATCTTCTACGGATGACCTAAACTGTAAGAAAATATCCTGTTAAATTTGTTATAAAACTGTTATTTTGTTAAATCTAAAAACTTACTTAACTTAACTTAAATCTGCTTGGAATAATTCACCCAAAAATGAACATTTGCAGAAAGTTGCAGATGAGTTTGTTTCTTCATGGGAACAGATTTGGAATAATTTATCATTACATCACTCGCTCACCAATGGATCCTCAGTAGTGAGTGGGTGCCGTCACAATGATAGTTTCAAGCGAAAAGCAGCATGTAATAAACAAATCCATTTATCTTCAAACCGTTGCTTCAGGCTAAAATACGAGCCTTCTATTGCTTTCTGCAGTGGAAAACCATCTCGTCAGAATTGTAAGAGAAATATGCACAGATCAGAAGCAATAGTTTAAAAGTAAAATGGCTTAATGATGGACTTGTTTACTACAAACATGCAGCTTTTCACTTCACAAGATGTTAACTGATGGGCTGAAGTGGTGTGGATTACTTGTGGATTATTGTGATGTTTTTATCAGCTGTTTGGACTCTCATTCTGACGGCACCCATTCACTGCAGAGCATCCATTGCTGAACAAGTGATGTAATGCTACATTTCTCCAAATCTATTCTGATGATAAAATAGAATGGATGGCCAAAGGGTGAGTACAGTTTCTGCAAACTGATTGAACTATTTTGAATTTAATAATAAACAAATATAATGAAAAATAATAAATGTGGCAGGCCACATAATATTCATTGAAATTGGCATATCCAGGAACAATGCTTGTATTTACAAAGAACTGAGTGTAACCTACACAACACAACACCTTCAGGATAACACACATCACCAATAATGCAATAAATGCACAAAATACCATAAAGTGTAACATAAAACT